ACCCATCCCTTGATCTGGTAGTGATACCAAATTAGGGCAATCTTTAATTTCAAGCTCCTCAAGTAATGTGAGGTTGCCAATATCTTCTGGCACGTATTCTATATCCCCAACGCTGCAAATCTCCAGATATTTTAATTTGGAGAGAACAGAGGAGGAGGGAAGGACCTTCCAGCTGCTTCTCTCTAACAGCAGTTTATCAAGATTTGGGTACAACGGCATGGAAGTTAGGTTAGGACAATCACCTATAATTAAAGTAGAAAGACAAGGAAATGAAGAAGCTGAAGCTGAAGCTGTTTCATTCCTCCACCATCCCTTGAGATTAGGGCAATGACTTAGACGAAGACTATCCAAGGAGGGAAAGAAGGTCATCGATGGAGAAGCAGCTGACATCATCATCATCTCATCACTCGCAAAGTCCTTAACCTTGTCTTCTGCTGATATGTACTCCAAATTCGTTAAACTTAAAAGCTCTAGACTCTTAAGAAGAGGTAAATGATCCAACGGTGGAAGATGTTGGCATCTAACACAGCCAAACAATTTGAGATTAACAATATTTGAGAGAGAGAGAAACCAACTCGCAACCCTCGCACCCATATAGTACTCCACGGTTAACTGTTTTAGACTTGAATGGGGCTGCAGCGCTTCCATTGAGTTAATAATTACATCACTCTCCTCCTCAACCGCAGCACTATTTTCTCTTTCGATGAGCATCCAATGTAAAGTCAACGAATAGAGATGTCGTTTCTCCTTCAAAACTGCACCATCATAATTCAATTCTGACACCATATCTTTCTTGTACCTCAAATTTCTGATCTCCAACTCTCCTCTTAAATCCTTCAGCTTCCCCAACTCACTGAGCCCTGCACTGTCCCTCAACTTGGAATTGCTTTTGCTCAAAACAAATCTACTCAAAGTACGAAGACGAGTCAATTCACCCAATCCACCAGGAATCCGAGCCAATTTATGACATCTTTTCAAAATGAGATGTCTCAAGTTGATCAATTTCTTGATATCTCTAGGCAATTCCATAAGAGAGCCACATCCTGAGAGATCTAGTGTTTCCAAATTTTGAAGTTTGACTATCCAATTTGGAAGTCTCTCCATTTTTTGGTTATCATTAAGATCAAGATATCTTAAATGTTTCATTTTCCTAAGACATTTTGGTAATGTTGTAATATTCAATCCATTCAAACTCAACATACGCAATGACTTAAAATTTGAAGCAATTGTAGCACAAAATGACTTATGGAATGACTTCAGCCACCACTCCCAGTTTTGGCTCAGGAAAAGGAAAGTCCTTAGCTTATTTGATTCCAGCAAGGATGTTGGTATTTTCCATTTCGACGAATCAACATCAAAATCAAAAGATACATGAAGAAGACGTTTTGCATCAAAATCAGTCTTATTGCGATCTATTATTGTGCTTCCCTTCCCTGCCACTTTAACAGCAAGTTCATTCATGAGATCATGCATTTTACAGCTTTTTATTATACCAAACTCATCTTTTTCTTCTTCTTGGAAAAAAGATCTCCAAACTAGTTCGTTATAATATTCATAACCAACATCTTCCAAGCACTC